TATATACATTTGTTGAAACTCGTATTGTATACTTAAAAGTGGACATTTTATCTTAGGTAAATTATAACTGAATAAAACTGATAAAAAAGAAATAATTAGCAAAAAATTTCAATAGAAAGAGAGAAATATTGAAGATAGGCAAAGGAGATTCAACATAGAGACAAGATGAGCCCCTGAGAAAGAAAACCAGAGCAAGATACTGAAAGAATACTACAAACTGTAATTCAAGAAAACGTTCTTTAAATAAAAGATGACTTGCAAATGCTGAAGGAGTGTACGGTATATCTGAGAACATTGGTGTGGAAGAAAGAAAATACAGAAGTAATATGGAATATTTTAAGTACAAATCCTGTAGTCCTCACCTTGAATAGGAAGTATCAATATGAATTCATGAGGTATTTTATATATATTCAATGTATTGATTTTCCTACCTACTTCTGTCTATTAAAAAGATGTGAAAAGAAGGACCACTTTAGTAGCCTTGAATATTTCTAGCATCTAGATTATAGTTCTGAAATACCATTTTCCTACTAAAAAAATCAGAGCTTCTTGAAGAAATGGCTAATTCAAGATCTGGCACAGGAATTGTACAAGATGAACCTATAGTATCTTGTCACACCAGATAAACAGTTGTGAACCAGTGGAACTGCTCTTGTTACTTAATAAAAGGACAAAGTGCTGAGAAACCTTGTCTTTTCAAACCACACCTATCAGAAACTTTGTATTTGAACTCATATCAGCAAGACTGGAACATTACATTCTTTCCTGAGGAACAGAGTCTTTCAAACAGAAAAGCAGCCCTGATTTCAGAGCCAGGGACGGAGTGTCAAAGAAGGGGTTTTGGGATAGGAAGCTCTGCATCTCTCTTAATTTTGTACTTTCCATGGAAATGGGACCCTGAATCCGTTTCTCAGCCTAAACCTGATGTTAATCCCATCCTGTGGCCCTGCCTTGCCTTGAAGTCTATCAAATACTGCTTCATTTACATTTTACCTAAACTCTGCCCTTCCCCTTAATCCTATAGTAACCCTATCCACTCCTTCATTTGGTGAGATGCCCTACAATTCCTTTGGTATGTGTTTTCCTTTGCTGCAGCAAGTTAGCATATCTAACTTTGTCAGACTGCAGGTGTGTCCTTTGTGGTGCTTATACGATGGACTTTATCAAAAGGAAACTAGCAAAGACTAGCAGGAATATGTCAAATAAGGCTCTTTAACCATGTTAAAGAGGCTCCTGCTAGCCAAAGGTGGGACAATTTGAGTTTCAGTAAGAGTAAAGATCGCAAAGAATGAAAATTCATCAAATATATTTAAATCCATCAGTTTATAATGATATTAAAAACTATTTTGTCACATTTGGGGGATGATAGGAAAATAAAGCATTATCTTGCAGATTCATACATAAAGAAAAATCACCAAGCATTTATTCTGTCCTTCCACGAACTGTACTGCTCAGTAACCAAAAATAGATAATGAGGAGTGTCTTTATTATATGAGTATTCCAGCCCACTAGTGAAAAGCACATAACAGAATATCATCATTTTGCAATGCCCAAAGAATTAATGCATCTAGGCTTTGAGCATCAGTGACTGTAATTGTCACTAAAAGAAAGACAACCAAGATATTATGTGCCTCCTGATGAAAACACATTATCACCACCAAAGTTTTGCCAAAAAGGGTAGAACTTGAGCCTGATCAAGTCCCTGGATCCAGGTACCAATCTGCAGAAAATACAGAGGTCAGAGGAATACGTCGAACTTCACCTTGAGTATGCAATGAGCAACATCCACACTGTGGGAAACTACACGTCAAATGACCTGTCAGATAAATTATAAAGACAAGAAAAGGATGAAGATGTAACCAGTAAATTAAAAAATTAGAAGAATCTTAAGAGACATCCGATTTTAAAAGTGGGCATGACAAGGATAGGGTGTCTAGAGATGCATCCTTAGCAAGGAAACTATAAAGAAATGCAAAGAATTGATTGCTATAAAAGTCAGGACAGTGCTTAATTTGGGGGAGGGAGACAGTTGTGATAGTGGGTAGGTGGAGGGGCTTTTGGGGTGACTGTCAATGTTCTGTTTATTGACCTGGATGGTGGTTACAAGGGCATGGGCATTATAACAATTCATTAAGCTGCACATTTGTTTTATGTGGTTTTCAGTATCTGTACTTCTGTGTTTTATTTTACAAAAAAGATAAGCAAAAACCCACCATTTAACAACGAAATCTCAATTTTTAATTCAAGAGTGTCAAGATGAACTGTTGGTGAGAGTGAGAGAGAAGACGGTCTCATATACTTTGTTTTGGCCTCTCTGGAGGCTACTTAGCAATAACTCACACATTTAAAAATTGTGTACAGTCTTTACCTGGCAATTTCCTTTCTAGATATCTATCCTAGAGAAATACTCACATGTATAGACTGAGAAGCCTATTTACTGGAGATCCAACTATAAACAAGTTAGAGATAGAACACCTGCCCTCAGAGAACTTCCAGTCTAGTAGGGGAAGAAACAGCCGTTAAAGAAATAGCTAACCAGATATTTGACTGACTAGATTTGTGATGCAAGTTATAAAGGGAGAAGTCTGGGTGCTGTGAGGAGGTATAATGGAGAGGTAGGTGACATGCCACCTAAACCTAATATCTGCTGGGTTCTTGGGCTTTACACACATGTCCCGGGTTTCCACCATTAACCTAACTTTAATATTTTGAAAATATTAAAGTGATATATATTTTCATTCCCCCTTAATCATGAGACCCCTTGGTTGCCAAAAAGCAGAATTGGGCAGAGATTCTGGGCTCTGGGGGAATGGTAAACAACAGTTAGAATGACAAAATTCTTGCTCAGCCTAAATGAGATGAGCTGTTTTTTTTTTTAATTTTATTTATTTTTTTTCCCCAAAGCCCAAGTAGATAGTTGTATGTCATAGTTGCACATCCTTCTAGTTGCTGTATGTGGGACGCAGCCTCAGCACGGCCAGAGAAGCGGTGAGTCGGTGCGCTCCAGGGATCCGAACCCGGGCCCCCAGCAGCGGAGTGCGCGCACTTAACCGCTAAGCCACAGGGCTGGCCCGAGATGAGCTGTTTTAGTTCATAGCAAGACAATAATTTTAAGAACCAAAATTTATCAAAAAAGGTCAAGAATTTCCAAATTTCAAAGAGCTCCTTTATATATTATTAGGTGAGCCTGGTGGATTCAAGAAATACCACCTCCCCATAAACTACAGGCGGCAAAGGCAGTCTTCGTTAGCACCACCACCACACCCAACAGGAAGTAGGAGGGAAAGGCTCTTCCTAGGGGGAACTGGGACGCTTAAATTCATTTTCTGTAGCCACAGCGGCAGTAACAGGCCTGGGAGCTCCTCTAGAACCCACACCTCACCTCTGCCAGCCGGGCTGATGGCAGACCCACCAGCAAGCTAGGGACAAAGGCCTTCCACTCTGTCCCCACTAGTGGTCAGCTGTTTATTGAATGTACCAATTAATTGATTAATTAATGACATAAATTACTTTCTCCTAAACCCAGATGCTATCCTGGGAAGGAGGAGGGGGACAGAAACAAGGAGAAATGTTGAAAGACTGAATATTTACTCAAAAGAGACTGAATTATCTTGGAAACTGTTTTAAAGGAGAAAAGATAAGTATTTAACCGTTGAGTTTAGGCACAGACCCTGTGCACCCTCCCCTGGGCCCTCCTCCCAACTGTCCCACCAGCAGGAAGGAAGTTCCTGGGAAAATTCAGATGAGTTGCAGAAAATAAAAAAGCTACATTTTTTTTTGCACACCAAAATTTCAGTGTGTTCCATGTTGTTCCCCCAACCTGACATTACTATACACACGCTATTGTCGTAGCAGTTGGAGAAATGAGGAAATGGAAGCTCTGAGCAGCTGAGCCGCTTGCTGGGGGTCACAGAGTTAGAAAACGGTGGGGCAGTTTCTAATCCGGGTTCTGGGCTTTCCTCTCTACCCCAGGTGAGGGTGTTTCAGGTATTTGCCACAGACAGATGGGAGAACTAAGGACAGCTTGTTTGAGGAAATTCACATGTATCCCGACCCTGTGGAAAGGTTAGATGAAAGCCTTGGGGCGGGCAGAAGCTTCTACCAGTTGAGCAGAAGGGTCCAGGTAGCTCATGCTGGCATTGGTGGAATGGGAAAGTCTGACCATGACCCTTCTCTGCTTAAGCCTTCCCATGGCTCCCTTAACTGGCATTCGTGGCCCATCAAGACCCAGACCTTGATTGTTCCCTCAGCTTTACCCCTTTACGCCCCTGACCCACTCCTCCTTTTTGTACCAGTTCCCTGAAGGCACCATGCTCTCCCACATCTGGACCTTGCATAAGCTGGTCTCTGCCTGGGACACCCTTCCTTCTTCCCCCTCTTTTGCTTCCCCTTCTAATTTCTACACACTTTTCAGGACTCCGGGTATCCCTCCAAGAGGACTCTCCTGGCCCTCAGGCTGGGCTTGTCCCTCCCACGTGCACCCCAGCCCCCAGACTCCCCTCTGTCACAGCTCATGGCACTCAGATTGTAAATGCTATTTATCGTCTCCCCCAAGGCCACGTCATTGATCTCTGTGGTCCTAGCTCCCAAAACAGGGTCTGGCACAGAGACAGCAAGAGTAAATATGAGCTTTTCTCACCCTTTAAGGTGGTTGTGATCTTTACAAAGCCTGGATCATTCTGGGGACTATTTTGCAAGAGAGCCACTATTGCCGGCTCCTCTTCCTGCTTCGCCTGCCCACCCATTCCATTCTTGCTCACACGCTAGGCCACCTGCGCATGCTCCCTGGCAAAGCAGGGATGGGGTTGCTGAGCGAGCAGTTCTGGATGTCGTACTTAGTACCTAAGATCTGGCACCTGCTTCAGGTGAGGGCTCCTCCTCTACGTGGCTCTGAAAGGTGACCTCCTGAGAGCTGGCAGCCCATCCTCCTTGCCCTTGGGATTCCGTGCCCAGGCCTCACTCTCCACACCCTGCCCCTCCCCTGAAGAGGTCCAGGTTACCTGGGGTGAGCTGGGACAAGAGCAGCAGTGCAGCCAGAGCCAGCAAAAGGAGCTTCATGGCTGGAAGTGGCCCAGGGAGAAGCTGCAAGACCGACGCGATGGCAAAGCTAATGGAGAAGAGCTCTGGCCTCCCTGGCTCGCGGTCCCTTTGTTCAACGGGAACAGATGTCACCCACACGTGCCCTCATCTGCCCACGGGTACAGCCCCCGCGCTCCCTGAGCCCACAGTGTGCAGCCGCATACGCTGAGCTGGCACGCCTCAGTTCTCGTTTAGGTCAGCAGGGAGAGGTCAGGGAACAAGGTCCAACGTCCAAGACTCAGTACCCGTCCTTCCACCCAGCCCTAAACCGCCTGAACCAAGGGACCACAAGGGGGCGCCACTCACACGGAATCAGGAAGGTCAGGGAAGACTTCACAAAGGTCACACTGAGCAGTGTTTTGAAGAAGTACCAAAGCACCAGGCAGATGAGCCAAAACGGTGTTCCAGGCGGAGGAAAGCCTGTACAAAGGCTTACGCTGGTCTTGAAAATGAGAAATATGACGTAACTGGAGCTAAAACTGGAGGAGAATGGTCGTAAGAAATGAGTCTCCCAGCTCCCGCCTGACTGTGCCCTCTCAGAAGTACCGGCAGCCTCAGCTCCCTGCCGTCTGAGTACTAACCATGCACTGGACCTTATCCATAGGGTCGTGCCCTCTGGGAACCAGGCTGTGCTCCTTCTCAGAATCCAAGAACCAGCTATTCCGGGTCCGTCCTCTGAACTCTTAAGTTTTGAAAACCCATTCTTTTCCCTTTCATTTCCACAGCTGGAGGGGGGTAGCTGCATGCCATCGTTAATAATATCTGTTTCCTCAGCGTCTTTTTGCTCGTTCAGCCTTCCAACAACAGTGTAACCAATTCCCTATATTAAATATCCTATGTGGCTTCCATTTCCTACTGGACCCTACTTGATACAGAGGTCAAAGATATAAAAGCATATATAGGGACAAGACAAAATAACATTGAAAAGCATTTCTGTAGGGGCAGAAAACTTATTGAGGAGGTTGAAGACTGAAAGGTAAGTGAAAGAGTGAGGTCAGTAAGTGTAAACAACTCTTTCTAAAACCTTTACAATGAAAAGGAGACAGTGGCTAGGAAGGGACTCAGTGTCTGAGCCTCAGAAATACACCATTGTCGTGTTATTCATTTCTGTTAAGGAGGCTCATTTTTTCAAACATGTGTTAGTTAAGGCTAAACCAGGGAAGCAGCAGAACCCTTATCAGTATTACAGAATAAGGAATTTATTATAAGAATTAGACTCTATTCAATTGTGGGAGGAGCTGGGAAAGTAAAGATCTGTCCAGGGCAGTCTTGGGGTGGCTAAGGGAGCTAGTGTAGAAGTCTGTGAAGGTTGTTTGCTCTTCAAGACTACTGCCTGTCTGAGTTCATAGAGAAGTGTTTTGCAGTGGGCCTGGGCCCTGGGGTCACTTTTGTCAGCAGGGCTGGCAGTTGCGAAGAAGAGCTGATGCGTAGCAGGGAACGGTGAGGACAAACTGAAACCTGCCAACACCCTAGATTCTGTCCTCACTACTTCTAACCAATGACAACCTTCAGAGCACAATGATGCTGCTCCATTTCCACCTTCCAAATATCATGCAATAAACAAAAAGTTTGTGGCAAACCCTAACTCGATTCCCTACAGGGAAAGGAACTGTAAAATGTAATGTCATCTTAACTAGAGCTGTCTGAGTACCCTCCAGACTGTGCTACAAAAACATCACAAAATGCATATGTCCAAACTCATCGAATTGTATACATTAAATATGTGCAGTTATTTTGTATATCAATTATACCTCAAAAAAGCTGTAAAAAAAAAACATTGCAAAATGCAGTTTTCTAATCTGGTGGCTAGGGAATGGGGCAGGGAGGATACACATTCTCTCTTAGGGAGAATGTTTCTATTGGATTCTTTTCTCCCTAAGAGAAGAGACTCCACTGCCTAAAATGTCTGGATATATGGAGGATTTTGGTATTGAGAATGGAAGACACAGAGGTGAAAATATCCAGCTACTAGTCCTGACTCTGCCACTAACTTCCTATTTGACATTGGGAGAATCACCAATTTTCTGGGCCTCAGTTTCTTCAATCAAGTATTTGGAGCAGATGAGCAGTAGGGATCAATCATATATAGTTCTCTAGATGCTAAAAAGACGCAAAAAAATGAAATAATACAGTAATCTGTGTTTTCAATGCCAAAACAGGGCAAGGTAATTGGTTTGCACCTGAGGATTCTCGGGCTGCCCCCAAGTCTCTGAAACATTTAGGTCAGAGGATTTTTTCTCTTGACCCAGACTCCCAAATATACTGTGTGGCTCTTGCAAAACCACAGTCTGTCTCTGGGCCTGCTCCTTGCATAGTCAATGTACTCATTTTGCGCTGGTTTTGAAGCCTTTGTTATCCTCCTGAAGACCCCAGAGTAGGTATAATCACAATGGGCTTACAGGGACAAGGGGACAAGGGAGACCGGTGAGGGAGCAGGAGAAGGCTCTGCCACATGTGCTCCTCTAGGCACACCTCAGACATCACAGCCTGTCCCTGGTGAGTCAGAAGGGCCAACTTCTCAACATAACTAGGAATCACAGAAAAACAAATTCAAATGACAGCGAGGTATCATTTCTCCAATCCAATTGGCAAGAATCCTATTTTATTGATAATTCCAGAACTTTGTAGGATACACAGAAAGAGTAATACCTTGATCATGGAAATGCAAACTGGTGCAACTTTTTTGTCAGGTGTTTGCCAATATCAAAATCCTAAAATATGCATGCCCTGCAACCCAGCAGCTTCACCTCTAGGACCTGGTAGTGGCCGCCTGCCTGCTCAGCAGCGATTCCCCTTTCTTTGAGTGACAGCGCCTTGATTTTCCTTTAGGGAAGCATCTCTGCTTAACTCTCATATACAGGTAGGGCTTTTGCTTTTGGACATTCCATTTCTCCACAAGCAGACTCATATTTTAAAAATATAAGTTCGATAATGTTTCTTTATCCAATGGCTATCCTTTGCACTCAGGATAAAATTCAAACTCTTCTCCCGGGCTTACCTGATCTGGTTGCTTCATACCTCTCTGACTTTATCTCATACCCATTCCCTCTCATCTGCCATTCTTCAGCCATGCTGTCCTTTCTTCTTTCCATTGAACACACTAAACCTGTTCCTATCTCAGGGCATTTGTACTTGCTATTTCCTTTACCTGAAATATTCTTCCTGATTTTCTTGTGATTGGCTCTGTGGGGGATCAGAATTGGCCACCCCAAAATGTGTCTCTTTGCCTTGATTATTTTTAAGAACAAAAGACTCTGAAAGTAACTTTGACCTTCCCCCTGACTGCCTAAAAAAATTTAAGATAGAAAGCCTGCACCCAGGACAGTCCACCACCATAGATAACTCTGGGTATCAGTAGACTGCAAGGGTCCTTCCTAAGCCTGTTCTTATCAAAGTTCTGTCTACCAAGCATTTGCATTTCCATTTCCACGTGAATTGCCTTCCTCCCCTTTGAAGCCCCAAACCACTATGCCCCAACATCCTCCTTTGTCTTTAGCTGAAAATGGTATTTGAGGTGGTGGCTTAGGCCATTCTGGCCAGTTGCCCAATCTTCCTGGGTTTCTTCCATGTATATATGTTATAAAGCTTAGTTTGATTTTCTCCTGTTATTCTGTCTCATGTCAATTTTTTAAAAATTTTTTGTTTATTGCAGTAACATTGATTTATAACATTGTAAAAATTTCAGGTGTACATCATTATACTTCTATTTCTGCATAGATTACATCACGTTCACCACCCAAAT